GGTACAAGTAAGGTACGTATTTATTATTATTGGGCCACATATCTCCTTGGTGGTACATCTTATAACTTATAATACATTATCTGTGGGTGACAGCATGGGATGACCCTTATAATATCTTCCAAACAAATAAGAATAGCTACATAGAAACATATACAGTAGCGTACGTACGATTGTTGAAACATATACAGTACACACATTTCCTGTGTTAAGGAATACTCCCAGTAGTCACAGTTGAAATTGTTATTATATATATGTAGTTATTATACAGGTATTATATAATATACCAGTGTTCTTCAAACATGTTTCCTATGATCCTGTGTAATGATATTACTGTACTTGCACTCCCAACCCTTTTCTTGAACTTGATCTCAAAATTAGACATGTACATAATTCAAAAAAAGCTAATTTAAGGCACTTCACTTGCTAATCAAGGCATAATTCCTTATCCTTATCCTGATCCCTTCTCGATGCTATATAATCGTAAGGCTTAGTGTTTCTGATAATTCCCTTCCCTTGCTAATTAGGGCATACTGTACTAATTTAAAAGTATTCTTTACAATTCATGAAATATTCAGTACAATAAATACAATTCAAAATTCCTGTGTTCAGTGTGACTAGTGCAGAGTGGACACTTCAACTTCACAACCTGTAAATGGAAGCAATTTTTGTTATTTTTAGTATTTTAACAAACATGCTTTAAAAATACTGTACTTGTAATGGTGTTATAATAGGAATTTACTGATGCATATGTAGGAAATAAATGAAAATTTGTGTTACCCGTATTTGGTATAAATGAGTGACCTTTACTGCCGAATTGCAGGCACCACTCCTGTGCCAGGTAAGTTCACTACGGGCTCACCATAACCCATGCTACTTGGAACTTGTTCCGAGTAGCTGAATCTATAACAACAACATGTCAAATTGTTCCAAGATTTCACAGATAATGGAGTTAACTCCCAGTAACTCATCATTTAAGAGGGTGGAGAACCAGAAATTTCTATAACTGGTTAATGGGGGGGTTCTACAGTAGTAGTAAAAATCATAATTTTTGTTTACTAATGATGCATCTTTGTATATCACAGCTAAAGACTATTATTATATCCTTACCAACATGTATAAGTGCAGAATTAAAGAAGCTTTACCAATGGCTTGCAGCCAACAGTCTTCCTTAATTATGTGGGAATCACTTCCTGGATAGCAATTTAGCAGTTAATGGGGAACCGTAACTAGTTTCCTTAGCCATTTCTCGGTGTACTGTACGTGTTAATGAGCTGGAAGTATTACATGGCTATCTTTACTAGTTTATATACTAGTTTAGAAGATTTTGCTAGTTAATGAGATTATGTTTTTGGGATTACGATAATTTAAGGGATTATGCTAGTATGTTTTGGGGATTACGATAGTTTAAGGGATTATGCTAGTTTAGGGTTAATGCTAGTTTAGGGGATTATGCTAGTTTAGGGGATTGTGCTAGTTTAGGGGATTATGCTAGTTTAGGGGATTATGCTAGTTTAGGGGATTATGATAGTTTAGGGGATTATGCTAGTTTAGGGTTAATGGTAGGTTAGGGGATCATGCTAGTTTAGGAAATTAGGTTAGGGGTTTATGCTAGTTTAGGGGATTATGCTGGTTTAGGGTTAATGCTAGTTTAAGGAATTACGCTAGTTCATGGGATTATACTAGTTTATGGTACTGTATTATGCTAGTTTAGTATATTGTACTCTCATGTTAGCTTAGGATGGACTTATATTTTAGTATTATGTTTTTTTCTTATTAAGGATCTTACAACCACTTTTCAACTTATAAAGTTGTATTTCTTTAATTATCTTAGATGCTACTTATTGTACTTTGGTATATCCATTCTTTTATAATATGTTTATTTATTTATTTATGCATATACAAGAAGGTACATTGGGAATGTGAGGATACATAATATGGTAATTACAATCTTGTAAAGCCACTAGTACGCGCAGCGTTTCGGGCAGAATTATGTTCTATTATATTATGCTTCAGTAACTTCATGCAGGCGTCTGCTGGGAAACTATAGTTGGACCGTTCTGTCACCTTGATTGACCCAATGTACTTACCCAGATATTGCATTCCTTCTAAGCTGAATAATTTATATTTAAGTGTAAAACAAAAATTGCTTTGATATATATTTCATCTTGGGATCATGGGCTTGCCGTAGTGTGGTAGGATAACCACTCACAACCATAGCAGGTTGTATAATCATACTCCCACAGTTCTATATGGCGTTTATCTAGTACATTATGGGTCTGTGCTGCGTATATATAACTTTAATGGCACCCTGAATTTCAGCACGTGTACTTGGAAATTCAGATTGCCTAATGCAGAGTAATTTCAATACTCTGAAATAAGAAATGCTTTGTTTTGTGTAACAAATGATTTCAGTTGATTAGGTTTGTGATAAGTTCCAGGTACTTGAGTGTGGCGGACCATGTGGTCTTTTCTTTCCTTTTCATCCATATATATTAACTGTCATTGTCCTACTTATTCTATAAGCTTTGGTTACACCTTGTCCCTTCAGATGCACTATTCCTTGAGTTTGACCTATTGTATCCATATCCTCAAGTCCTCTTTAAGGGGTGACCAGATGTAGTACCCATTCCAGACATTTTAGCTCTCCTTGTATGTTCCAAACCCTAGTGAAGGTTCACCTGAAGCATCTTCAGATAAGGGTATTTCTACTTCTTGGTCCATCAGGTAATGGTAAGTACAGTAACTGGATGGGTGACTGCATGGATACTACCTTATATCCTTAACTTGGGGCACTTTGCCAAGCCATGGGCTTCATGTCCCGAATATGCTATACTCATCCCATTTTAGTACAATCTTTTAATTTTCTTAAACTTCATAGAGTTTCTTAAATATGTACTGTATATGTTTTATTAACTATTAGTCCTTAATTTTTTACCTGATTAGTCTCTCATGATTTTGCTACACATACAATAATGTATTCATCGAACATCTAAACATGGTACTTTGCTTGACATTACCTTTGCCTTTACTCTTATAAAGTATATCTCATACTGTCCGTCATTTTCATCTACGCATCTACTTGACCATTACTTATTTTTCCATATTCCAAAGAAGTTGTCATAATTCTCTCACTTCATAATATTTTTCCTCCTCACTTTCATAAATTTGTCTTTATTAAGAAAGTAACAGGCACAGTACTTAGTTACATTTAGTGATAAGTTAATGATAAGTTCCAGGTACTTAGGTATGGTGGAAACGAGGAACTTAAATAAAATATAGGGTACAGGACACAATCAGACTTGTTCATAGAAGGATAGCAATGTGTAAAAAGATCTGGGAATTATGATGCCTGGCAACCTGATATTTAGCGAACATAACCAAGTAAATATAGAGGCGGCCAGGAAAATGATAGGATGGATTATGAGAACATTCATCAGCGATCCCAGAGCAATGCTAATACTATTTAAATCACTGGTGCTGTCCCGTCTTGAGTATTGCTTGGTACTCACTTCCCCCCTTCAGAGCAGGAGAGATTTCTGAAATAGAGGGAATACAGAAAACCTATCTAGCATGCATAGACACGATAAAACATCCAAATTATTGGGACCATCTCAAAGGTCTCAAAATGGATGTTCTCTGGAAAGGAGAAGACAGAGGTATCAAATAATATATACTTTACATGGAAGATATTGGAGGGTCAGGTCCCAAATCTGCATAGAATAACAACATACTTGAGTGAAAGATGTGGAAGGAAATGAAAAATAGGACCAGTGAGGAGTAGAGGAGCAGGCACAATCACAGAGCATTGTCTGAACATTAGAGGTCCATTGCAGTTCATTGCCCTCCCAGCAAGTGTTAGAAATATTGCCAGAACAGAAATGGATGTCTTCAAGAAGCATTTAGGCAAATTCTTGCGAGAAGTGCCGGACCAACCTGGCTGTAGTGGATATGTGGGCCTGCGGGCCGCTCCAAGCAACAGCCTATTGGACCAAATTATCACAAGTCGAGCCTGGTCTCAGGCCAGGTTTGGGAAGTAGAAGAAATCCCAGAACCCTCTTCAGGTATGTTCCAGGTAATTAAACTATCCCACCTGAAACCTGAAGACTAAGCATTACCAGTGCTTAACCCCTGGGTTGCACACCTATTGGTAGCTGACATCCCTGTGGTGCTCAAAAAATAAATTATGAAAAACAAATATTATTTCTTTTGACATTGTTAATAAACATCCAGGAAGCACAAAAATACAAACAAGAAGTCTCTACCTCGTTCAATTTAGCCGTAATGGCTTGAGAAGTTTTTTTTTTTAATAGAAATAACGTGAGGTGCCGCACAGGAATAACTTTGTCTACTTTCATTGTTTCTCACTTTATATATAAAGTTTTTTCTTTCTGACAAAGTTGTTAAAAGTTCAGTGGCTGCTGGCATGGCCACCCTGCATGTTCACCCACTGGATGACGATGTTGCCAAATATGGTCCTCATTTTTTTTTAGTAAGGCCCTAGAAGAAAAGTGAGGGACTCAGGATTTTTGTTCAAAATGGGGGATTGTTACTGGAGGCCTGAGGAAGCAACTGTGTGCCCCACATAAGTGTAAGACTTTTAAATCTTATGCAGTTCCCTAAGACTTCATATGATAGGATGCACAGTCTGAGCATATTTAGCTACCCTATCATATGATAGGGTAGCATATTAAGGGGCCACTACAACTTCTCCGAGCCACTACGGCTAAACCACAAGAAGTACAGACTTTTTACTTGGATTTTTGGGCTTCCTGGATGCTTAGTGTCAAGTGTGGAGTGTCAAAAGAAAAAGATTCAAAATTGATTTGTTGTGCCCCACAGTAATGTCAGGTATTAACAGGTATGCAGCCCAGGGGTTAATACGCACAGATAAACAAGTTATTGTACTGTGTATGTAATTTGCTGCGTTGGTAATTTTTTAGTATAATATTTTGTTTTAAGTTTTGCAGTAGAGTAGCATTTCTTCTTTTCTTATCTCCCAGAGTCTTCAGTCTGCTGCCACAATTCTCTTAAATGGAGCTGAACGCCTTCGCACATCTCAAGCAGAAATGGGTCGGCCAAATCGTGCAGTACATGATTTTCATATCGAATTGCTGAGATTACGGCAAAACTGGCGGTTGAAAAAGTTTGGTAACAATATTATAGGGGACTTGTCGTACCGTTCTGCTGGCTCAATGTTCAGACAAGTAAGTTCCTGAATTTGGTACAATACTTTTCTGGGAAGGGTTCCTGTTCAATGACAGCACTGAGCATTTCATTACGTTCAATGCTGAATCAATTTCTTCTAGAGTGCAATGTAAAAAATCCAGATTACAGCACATTAATCAATCACTAGTTTGGATCAAATGTGGCAAATCCCCACTTGACTTGTACAGAGTCAAATTGGGAAACTTAAATATTTACTCATTTTTATCTTTATTACTGTATGTTCTATTTACAAATACATTACTTAGTTTTACCCTAAAATCATCTTGTGCCTTGTGTATAAGGTTAAACCTTTAATATTATAAATAAAAATACTAAAAATCATTTGAATATACAGTGTATTTTAAATAGAAAAACACCATTGGGAAAGGTGAATGCACCGTGGTGTAAGGAGAATCGCAGCTCAGTGGGAGGTAGGATGCTTCCCACCTCTGCATAGTCATCGCCCTTGTCTTTGATATCCATAGCACCAAATGAGAGAGAGCCAGTCTGGCAGTTAAATGTGTCAATAAAGTTGGTCAGTCATTATTGATCAGCAGCCTAGGCAATCATATCAGTCATCAGTTATCTTACAATTCAATCATCAGTAGCCAAGTCAGTTATCAGTCATCAATTCAGTCATCAATAGTCAGGCATGTTAGTCATTACAGTATTAGTCAGTCAAGTCACATACACTTGGGTATGCATCATACACCTGCGTCATGCTTTCAACTAAGTGGTGCTAGCCTTCCCTGGAACGATTGTTTTGCCATTAGCCATTCCTTTGTTACTGTTGCTTAATATTTAACAAATATGCTTTCTGCTACAGTACCCGACATTGCATGTGCCCAAGCTTGTCATGATTTGTAACTGCTTCAGTCACCTGTATGATGCGATGTGTTGTGACTTATGACTGCTGCAGTCACCACTATAATGGAGTTTGTTGTCACATGAACTTCCTCCAGGATGAAGTTGAATTAGACCTAGGCTCTATCTCTCATCAAGACTACAGTATATCGCTCCAAACATTCAGGTCTGGTAGACCTCCCAAAAGCCTGAAAGCACCAGTATAAAAAACTATTATTTGTTTAGATCCAAAACCTATGTATATGATCAACACAAAATGTCCAGCAGACAGTGTGACACAGTGATTGTCAGAATCAGGTTGGGCTACCATTACATGTGGCAGGTGCCTACAGGTAATGACTCTCCTAATCCTGAGCATGTTAGGTGCAAACTATGTGAGCAGGAACTGGGTCTTGCTCTCTTTTGCTACATTACTGAATGAAAAAATCAGTAGGAGCCATGAGGAGGATTCGATCCTTGGCTCTGGGTACTCCCAAGCATATGCCTTAGACCACCACACCATGACATGTCAGAGTGTAGTGGTCTAAGGTGTGTACTTGGGAGTACCCAAAGTATAGGTTTGGATTACCCTCATGGCTCATACTGATTTTCTCAGATACTCCACATTAATGTGATTTCTTTATGCATTATTGAATGTCCAGTCATTATACAGATCAGAACTGCCAGCATGAGGTACCTGGAGCTTTGCAGTTACTTTATTAACTCTTGTGTTTTTGGGGATATCCTCATAATGCACCCCAGGCTACTGATCCCATGGCTCTGTATGATTAACCATTGTGTAAGAGGGGGAATTTTAAGTATCACATAGTTAGCTTTTCACAATGTAACCTTTCATATAGTTTAAAGTAGCTGTATAAATGCAGATGTACCTAAATATAATGATAACAAATGTGACTTGTGACTGCTGGAGTCACCACTATGGTGGATTGAGACTTTTTAGACTTTGGTTGGCTCTGCATAGATCCATTTGCTTAGGCCATAAAACTTAAATAATAAGAGAGGATTGTAAAGATTATTATACTCCTATCATATTTCAGACTGGCATATTTGAGGTATCGAAAGCTGATGAAGCATCAGGACCCAGTGCCGTGGTTGGTCCAGGAGCAGCATCACCCGTGTCCCCAATACCTGCACGTGGCTTACAGTCATCACTGCGGGTCACTGTTCCAACAGAGCTGATGGGTTCTGCATACATTTTTGTGTGCATTAAAAAAGGTTGGTATTTTTGTGAATGATGAGCCTTGCCAGTAACATTTTCATTTCATTATTAATGCAAATAATGCAAGACCGCTTTTTGAACAAAATATCATCTTCAGGTGGCTGGAATTCAAGAATGTTCTTGCTCACAGTAATACCGAACTATGACTGTTTCCCAGAGAAGTGGAGTAGACTTAGTCATTATAATTATCATTTCTGTAACACATTTTTAACTTTTATGGGACTAGGACTATCAGCTTGGATGAAATAGGATGGCAATACAGTATTAGGAATCAGGACACCCACCCATTCATTCCTCAATCTTCCACAGTTAATATCCTTCCTCTGAGGGAAGTCTTGCTTTTGGTTTTGTGGTCTAAGTCTTCAGTGCTGTTCCCTTCATAATTTTATCTTGATCTCCTCATTTGATCCCAGTTTTATATCTGCTTTACCAATCTTTTCTTATACCTTGTATTCTCATCATATTTTCATTTGTCTTGTCTCATTCACTTTGTATTCATTAAAGCCACTTAATCATAAACACATTCTATGATTCAAGTAAATTTTAATACACATTATTTGGCTGATGAATTAATATAATCTGACAGCTGTTATAGTTGAATAATGCAAAAATATATTTAGCATAATGTATATTTGTTCAAGTTAAAATATTTCCTAAAATGTTTTAAATATTTAAATTGAAGTGTTTACTTTCACTCTTTCAGAAATATTTTGTAACAAATAACTCCTTTGCACTCTTCTTGCTAAACAATTAGTTTAACTCTTCTTTTCCTCAGATGAAGAAGACATTTGTTCAGCTCAGTTAACTAGCAATGATTTTGTAGCAGGGGACACCCCATGGCAACAGAAACTTGAGAAGGCTCAAAATGTGCTCTTTTGTAAAGAATTGTTCAGCCAGCTAGCACGGGAGGCTGTGAAGCTTACTCCAGCGATACCTCACCTTGTTGTTGGTAACCAGATCACTGCGACTATTTTCCCCGGGATACATCTACTTGTGGGCTTATGTCACTCTGATGGGAAAAAGTAAGTACAGTATAGATTGATAAAGATTAAGCCACCCAAGAGGTGGCACGGACATGAGTAGCCCATAAAGTACAGTATTGTAGTTTGAAGATGCATATATTCATAATTAGAACATAAATACAGAAAATTATTGGCTTCTGTATTGGGAAGTATTGTATTATGTATGAGAAACACAATAAGACAAATATGTAACTTTTCTTGATTTGCCCTCTAAGTGGAAGTCAAGCTAAGCTGTATGCTTCTAAGTTTCTAAGCCGTATGTGTTATTTATAACAACGTTTAGTGAAGGCTTTACAGTTTTAAAAAAGTTAAGATACTGTAATCATTCTTATGATTTCATAATTTAATTTTGAGATGTCAAGATAAGACTATGATAGTAAATAAAGTATGTCAAATATTATGTATGCAGGTGATGGAGTGAATGATAGATTGAAATAGATTTGCTTAAGGTTTTATTGCCTAGTATGATAAAAGTTAGTGTATGGAAGTTAACATATGGTAGTGCAAAGGGAAGACAATTTTGTGTATGAAAATAGTGGTCACTTATTAGTGCCTACAGGGAAGTGAGGTCTGGCTCTTTATGCCCCACTTTCTGGCCTTCTTGTACCTGTTGCATTAAAATTGAACTACTTATCCTATTTGTTAATTTTTTTTGTAGAATCTGACCTTAAAGTTGTGGATGGATTTGGCTTCCATAACTACTACTATCATTGCATTCCACTGGTTGATCACCCTTTCAGGGTAGGAGTATTTCCTTACATTTCTTAAACTCATTTGCAATTTTAGTCCTTTAGTCCTACTTTTTCTTAATTTAAAGAGGCTGTCCTTGTCTGACTTGTCTATTCTCCATAGTACCTTCTATATTGTGATCATATCCCTCCTGTTTCTTCTCTCCTCTAGGGTTGTGAGACTTAGCTCATTCAACCTAGGTAACCTAGGTAACCTAGGTAACCTAGACATGTAGTTTAATTCTCTTAGTTCTAGGACTAATCTAGTTGCAAACCTCTGCACTATTTTTGTTTTCTTTGTAATTTACAAGATGGGGAATTCAGGCCAATGTCGCATATTTCAGAACAGTATTGGTCTAATGTAGGCACTGTAGCTTACCTTGAAAGAGTCCTTACTTAGATTTATAAATGATGTTCTAATGTTTACCATTTTCTCATATGCTGTTGATGTTACCCTGTTTGTGCTTCTTTCTTCTTAGTGTTGGAATTACATCCACTCTCAAATTTTTTCACTTTCTAATTCATGTAGTTGCTTACTGCTTATGGTGTAGATTCCTTCTAGTCTCCTCTCTTCCATTCCTGTCATCATTATCTTACACTTGTTGGAATTGAATTCTAGCAACCATTTATTTACCCACTCCTGAAGTTTGTCGGGGTCTTCCTGTAACTTCTGTTTTTACATTGCTCATTAGCTTTGTGTTTCCTGCAGACGTTGACCTGTACAAACTCGCACCCTCAGGTAGGTCATTCATGTAAATCAGAAACTGGTGTCATAAGACCAAGCCTTCAGGGACCCCACTTGTCACATTCCTCTAACTCAAAACCTCCTCTCTGACTGTAACTTTGTTTTCTGTCCTACAGGACAGAAAACCTTACATAGTTTAGTGTCTTTCAAGCTTTCCTGGATTTTTCCCAGCTTGTACACCAGCCTTTCATGAGGAATAATATCAAATGCATTTTGATAATCTCAGAAAATAGTCTACCCAGCCTTCTCTTTGTCTTAGTAAACCTGTCATAGAACTAGATCATGTTTGTTAAACATGACTTTTGCTTCTAAATCTATGCTTTAGTTACAAAGTTTATCCTCTCCAGGTGCTCCACTATTGTTAGCTTGATTACTTGCTCCAGCACCTCACATAGAATGGAAGAGTGCTAGAAGGGAATTTGTACAAAGAGAGAAATGAGTCAGAAATTATGGGCTATTCATGCCCATGCCACCTTTTGGGTGGCTTAATCTTTATCAATCAAGCCTGGAAAGGCAAGTGTCTGGTATGGTTTGAAGAAAACAAAAGTTTTTTTTAAACAAGTAGGTGCAGGGTGGGTACAGGAGTAGCCAACTTTTGATTCATTAGCAAGCTTAGAGCATTCCTTTCCATTAGCTCATTTTAAGCCTTTACCCTGATGGGTTTCCTGGAACACCAATCAATTTACAACTAAGTCCCTAATTACTGCTACATGAACAGGGGGTTAACAGTTAAGAATCAGTTCTTTGTCGACCTTCCCTGTCCAGGGTTCAAACCTGGCTGAAATCACTTGCAGGGCGAGTGGCGAGTGTTTTACCACTGTACCATACACACAGTTGCAGAAGAGGTCAGATGGCTGTGTAATATAATGATATTGCTTACCTACCCTTTGCATGGATGCAAGATGGTGTTGTGACATGAAAAATCCCAAATTAAGGAAGTTGAAATTAACTATCTGAGTTGGAATGAAATGATACAGTAAAGAATGAAATTGCCAAGGCAGTGTGTAGAGTGCAAAATTATGTAAATTAAGATTGAAAAGAGTGTGCCAATATAATTTAGTCAATTTGAATGAATGGATGATGATGGAGAGAATGTATTTGAGGGCACGAGGATTAGAGGAATGCCAAAAAAGATGAGCAGATATAGTGGGTGAGTGCGAGGAAGTGATGGTTGGCTAAACAGCATGTGGTTTCTCCAACCTTTGTAATTGGAAAACAGGTAAGTGACGATGAAGAAGTATTTTAGCTATGGAGAATTTAGGGAATGTGCAGTTAGCATAACATAGTGGTATATATAGTGATGTGTAGTAAAAATTAATTACAGTACACTGTACAGTCCAGTATTCTTTCACAATAAGGATGACTACATGGATTAGTTTAACTTTAATGTACCTTATACAGATTAATGTGATTTCTGACTTCCAGTAATGTCCGCAGTAAGGTCACGGCTGGTCAAGGCCCTAATGTTGTTGGTGGACAAAACAGCACTATGGTTGGTGGTGGTGGTGGTGGTGGATTAGCCCCTGCAACTGTTGGAGGTGCTGGTCCTTCCAAATACAAACACGAGCATGATTTAGAACACTCACTTCACCAGCTACTACATCGTGTATATCATCACAGTTTTCAACACCCTCTTCCACACCCAGTATATGCTCCAATGGGTATGAGTAAACGTAGAAGGGCTGCCGGACCAGAAGGAATGGATAAAAATCTGGTTTGTATTTAAATTTTATTTGTTTCACTTATGCTTTATATTATTAGTGACAAAATTTGCAGATTTTCTAAAAGTAAGTAAAATGAATAATTTTATTTGTCTGGCCACTAATGACTTACAAAATACTTAACTTCAAAATAATGTTTTTGAGCGTCTATAATATAGCATAGCTGTCATATATTGTTTTAAATTTATATTTGAAAGCTTATTTTTAAAAATTAATGTTCTATCTTGAATTTCTTGAAGTGGTAGTGTTGTTATAATTATGACTAATCATTGTACTTATAAATATTATTGATAAATCCTAATTTTATGTTTATGATTGCTCAATCTACATGCTTCATGTTCTCTTTGATCCTTCATTGCCAGTTTGACAAAAATCTTGGACTGACTTGACATGTATGCTTTCTAATTTCTCAGAATTGTCACCTCATGGCTTGCCTTCCTTCCTTAATTATTCCCGTGATAATCATCTGGGAGAGACCAAAATACAGTACTGTATTGTAATAATCTCTTAATGTGTGGATTTTGATGTTCAGTTGTGAAAAGTACTATAAGAAACCAGGTACTTAAATTTTTATATAGTACAGCATTTCTAACAAACAAAAGTTGTCTTTTCAGTAATATTTACTGAAATGGAGTCAAAATAATAGAAAATAGGCTTATGTGAACTGTTCCATTAGTAGAATCCTTCTGTTATTTGTAGGTTTCTGTACTTTTCTTTTGTGGAGGGGGAGGAGTTTTCTCCTAATCCACACCAATTGAAACCCATTCAATCAGATACAGAAATCCATAGTTTATTTCATAATTTACGAATACTGAATTTAAGTGTGACATTATTTTAATGATGTGCTTACTCTCCATAATTCACAGATGATCAGCTTGATGAAGGAGCAGACATTGTTGGAACAAATAATACGGCAAGTGCAACACAATTTCCTCCGACTACGCACCATGTATGTGATAGATCAATTGGCTGCCGAGTTCAAGGACCCACTGATTGTTTCCCACTGGAATGCTTTCAACTCGCCAACCCAATCATGTGTTAAAATTAACATAGTTACACAGGGGTATGATACTGTATTACGGACAAAGTTAGTGATTCATATCTTTGAAAGGACATTGAAGTGCATTTGTAGAGATGGTAAAATCATGACAATGTCCTTCGAACCACAAGAACTGCGAAATCTGATACTTTGCCAGATCTCTCAACATAATATGGCTGCTTTACAAGGTCTGGCTAAGTTCACTGGATGGACGCTTTTGTCATCTGAGCAGAACATTGGAACTGGTGCAATAGAACCACTTGGTAATGCTTCAACAGTTATGCTAGCTTCACCCTCTGGAAATAAGGTTATAGGCGTTCATTCAGGTCCCCATCAACGTGTTTCTGTTTATGTGTCGTCATCACCTCGTCCAGATTTCTATCCATCTACTGTTGTAATGGAGCAGAGATGGGAACATCTAGGATCCAACTGGCAGGAAGTTCGTCTTGATCGTATGGAAGGAAGAAATTTTCTGAATAAAATGGAGCTACTAATGGCAGCCCTTACAGCATGAGAGTATCTATACTAGAGAAATAACTACTTCCTCATATTGAGAATGTAATATGAATAACATTTCTGTACAAAATTATAATTTCATATACTGTAATCCAATAAAAAATGTATCCTTATTTATATTTATAGTTATATACAGTGCTGTCTCATCATTATTTATCAGTGAAGCAAATGTATACAACTTCTGGATAGGAATCATCAATACACAACTACACATGCTCAAGAATACTAACATATCCCCACATGCATACTAACATATTCCCACATGCATATTAACATATCCCCACATGCATACTAACATATCCCCATATGCATACTAACATATCCCCATATGCATACTAACATATTCCCACATGCATACTAACATATCCCCACACGCATACTAACATATTCCCACATGCATACTAACATATTCCCACATGCATATTAACATATCCCCACATGCATACTAACATATCCCCATATGCATACTAACATATTCCCACATGCATACTAACATAACCTCCAACAAAGACTCTTAAAGGAGTCAGATCTCCAGTTTTATGGAGACCAATGACTTCCATACCCCAGGTCAACAGGGATTTGAAGCAGGAAGATCACGCCTTTCGCAGCTACTCGACCACTATGAGAAAATCACTGATGCATTAGAAGAAAAACAATGCAGATGTTGTACACACAGACTTTGCAAAGGCATTTGATAAATATGACCATGGAGTGATGCTCCACAAAATGAGGTCAGTAGGAATAACAGGTAAAGTAGGACGATGGATATTCAATTTTCTGTCAAACAGAATGTAAAGAGTAACATTCAACTAAATAAAATAGTCTAATCACAGTTAAAAGCGCTATATCTCGGGGCATAGTCTTTGCACTACTGCTTTTTCCTTATTCTCATATCAGGTATAGACAAAAACACAAGTCATAGCTTCGTGTCATCTTTTGCAGGCAACACAAAAATCAGTATGAAAATTACTTCTGTAGAAGACATTGAAAAACTACAAGCTGATATTAATAAAGTTTTCAATTGGACAGCAGAAAATAACATGATGTTTAATAGTAATAAATTCCAGGTACTTAGGTATGGTCAAAATGAAGACCTTAAACAAAATGCAGGGTACAAAACACAATCAAAAGCAACACGAGGGGATCTGGGAATAGTACAATAATGTCTAGCGACAACATTTAGGGAGCATAAACAAGCAAATATAGTGTCGGCTAGAAAAATGATGGGATGGATTATGAGGACCTTCAAATCCAGGGAACCCATTGCAATTCTTGTCCTGTTCAAATCCTTGGTGCTGTCCCATCTTGGATACTGCTTGATACTCGCTTCTTTCTTCAGAGCAGGAGAGATTGCTGAAATAGAAGGGATACAGAGAATTCGGGTGTCTTGGCATCCATTTCACTTGCAATACTTTATTGCAATCAACAAATTATTGTCTTTTAACTAGATATGCTCATATATACAGTACCTGTATATTATTTTTTTCAAATAAATTTTAGTGTGTTAGTACTGTATTCATCAAGTTTACCTTTCATGGCCATCCTGGCTCAGCAATTTCTTTTAATAAAAACATTTCCTTTTATGGTACTATATCCCTATTACAGTGTTTTGTACTCTTACAGTTAGTGGATGGTGTCGTAATTGTAAGATAAAAATTGAAAATATTTTAGAACAATGTTAACGAAGACAAATGTTGGGTGTTAGATTAAAAATCAGATTAAAGTCCACAGTATTGGGTTATTGTACTGTACTAACTATATGCAGGCATAGAATATTATCTGATTTTACTTATGAAATATTGAATAGAAATTATATTTTTCCTCAAACTATGTGAAATAAATGGAAAGTTTTTGTTTATCAGTATTGTACTTTTGTATTTCGTATCATTTTATCCATGGACAACTTTATGAATAATATTTTACTCATAGAGTGCAAAGTTAATTGAAAAGGGCCCTTGTATATACAGTACCAGGATTGTGTGATATTGCCCCGGTTATTCAATACTGTACTCTTTATATGGATGGGGGTGTCACAAGAATTTCAGTTTAATATATAAACTGGCTACCTAGCGTATAGGGATAATATGAGTATTTGAGAATGAGTTTTAAGGTAGTATACAGGCGGTAGTTATTTTAACTGATAGAGATTCAGGTTGATTTAACATTTTATTGGGTGTGTGCAAAAGGATTGTTAGGAGTTAATGTGGACAATATAGTTATGATTGGGGATGATGACAAAATTGTTAGTGAAAAAAGTAGCAGTTATCCAGTTTAAACTTCTCGGATATTTTATTAACTAAGGTGAATTTTCCAATGTCCTTGTCGAGTCATACTGGCAAAGGTGCTGCTGAATACTCACTCCAGTCCTGAATGACTTCCAGAAGGCTCTTTATATAAACCCTTGCAAGCACTACTTGGCATCACAGGAACCACCTGACAATGCTCTCACTAATCATCTCACTCAACAGTGACCCTGACTGCAACCAGGAAGCATCACCTACTCATTAACATGGTTCACTTACTTTGCCTATCTCTCATTCTTCCTGGATAGTCAAATGTAGTTCAGGCTGGCAGAGACTAATGCACCTCAGTTTGATGACCAATGTTTCATAAGAGCACAAGTATAAATAAAACAGGTGCACATGTGAGGTACCTCCTATTTAGAACTAAACTGATAATTCGCATGTATATCTAACCTATGACAAACAATTTAGCAATCCCACACCTATTATTCAGTAATTCGTTCCATTAATCTGCAAAACTATTCCCAAATTAGCATTTGGCAAGCTTTTTCCTAAATGGGGTGTTACCCCTGACAGCAAAGGGGCTCCAGTTCGCTGTTCTCAGGACAAAATACTTAGACAAAAGTATATACGTAGGATACACGAACAGTAGGATTCCTAGATAAGGCAAGTACCATACCTAAAGACACTAATGCGCTGAGTGTTCCATTCTACTTGCTACATCAGTTACACGAGTTTGTTTGGACTAGAGGACCAGCTCCAGAATCTGACCCCACTTCACATGAGGTGCAGAGCAAATGATATTCTGCCATTTCACGGAAATCACTTACAAAGTCAGCGAAGCTTTGCAAATAATTGCTGGGTTCACAAGATTCAAAGTCACAAAACTGCCAACCTCTCTAAACAATTCAAAATAAATTACAGATAGAACCCGATAGTACTGAATGTCGCTACTAGGCAGTCTGTGGTCGAGAACAAGGCAGTAGTGCTCCTGGGACTGTTAGTTCAACCTTGACGACGAGCAGACGTCTGGACAGCATCGTCTGAGATCCGCCGGGATCACGTCCGTTTGGCGATTTTGGATTACAAGATTCATTTGGCATGCCTATTTAACGATCCGATTGTTACGACGCCTGACGCACATATCGCCTTGGGTCACACAATAGTTGAGAGATTTTGAATGTTTTCTGGTTGGTTCTTCAGGCGGGGAGACTGGTTTCGGCGCCGGCTTGACAAAGAGGTGCCGGGAGTTGGTGGTTCTTGGTGGGTGGCTTCTGCTCTGGCGGAGGGCACTTGATAAACTGTTGCGTTTTAGTTGGGGGTCGAGTTTTTGGTTTTGCTACCGAGTGTTCTCTGTGTTGGGTGGGCCCGGTGCTTGTCACCCTGAGGGACTCCTGGGGCTCCCCAATTATCTGCTAGTCTGTGTGTTAATTTGCCGCGAGGCCCACTAGTTTCCGCTGATAAGCGACATTCGTTTCGCCATGCGACTTTGGGATTAATCAACAGCAACAGTAGTGCTCGTTCGTTGCATCATTATGCAGCAAGTCCCAGAGCTCTTAAGGTAAGTGCCGGTCATCCTAGGAATTGTCAGTTGGGGCTGTTTTTGTTAGTATATCGTTCCGTTATAGTATTTGCTAAGAGCGTGTTTTCTGTCAGGTTTGTTGTATGGACTTTGCTTTTTGTGCTCCGAACTGCATGTGCCCAGCAGTTCCTTCTCTCTTTTTTTTTGTCTATTATTATTTTCTACCACAGATGTGGTCACACATTTACAATGCTAACCAGCATATATACATTTTCTTCTGTCCTCCATGGACAGGGTTAGAAATCTGTTAAACATAGAGTTCAGTGTTTTATTGAACAATCAACTACAGAAGGTGATTCGAGCAGTCCCCGTAGTGTAGCGGTAAGACTCTCCTGGCGTTTTTCGAGCGCTTTGTCCTGGGTTCGTATCCTGGCCGGGGAGGATTTACTGGGCGTCAATCATTACTGTAGCCTCTGTTTTCCCAACAGTAAAATGGGTACCTGGTTGTTAAACGATTTGGCGGGTCGTATTCCGGGGAACATAGGATTAAAGCCTTGCCGGAAACGCTATGCGTGCTAGTGGCTGCACAAGAATGTAAGAAACTTTTGTATATATAAATAAATAAAAATAAAAAAATAAATTGCAGTGCTTTTAAAATGCTAATCTAACCTACAAACATAAATACACAGATTTACGTCTGTCCTACATAAACAGTGTTCGAGGTGACTTTTTACATAGTGTCATTAAGATGTATTTACAAGCTCAGGTTATAGTTACATCACATGCATTATGTAATAACTGGTGCATTACATAGTCAATCTTGGGTACAAGTCCAATATATCATCAAGTGTTCCAGTATTCATATAATAGTTACAGAGTTTAGCATAAGAACACTGTTTCCCAAAAACGGTGGGTTTTCTGAGTGGAAGAAAACGTATGTCTGGAAGCTGACTTTAACCGCCCCAAGCTGCGCGCGCATTGACCCGAGGTTATATAAACCGGGACGGAGACGGCGTGGTCCCCTTTCCCAAGCCAGCAGCTGCTCTTACATAACGTGACATGCTCTTACATGCTCTTACATACATGACACATGGTGCATTCGTCACTTTCACAAAGTTGACACATTGTGTACTCGACATTTGGGTTTTGAGAAAGCTGCCATATACGTCTAGATCCCAGGCGTATTCTGGCCACTATAACATCACATTGCCGAGTTCTTGCTCTTTTAGTGCCATATATGAATGTCTCCTCACGATATTTATCATAATGTTTAATGCTACAAGTTTCAGGTCTTTATGAATTTGTTAGGTCGGTGAGATTTTCATTAGATATTTGTTTAAGTATTCTCTTTGTCACTGCTAATGAAACACCCATATCAATTTCTACCACTGGTTTACTACAGGCTGTCTTTGCAAGCATGTCAACAATGTCATGCTTTGTGATGGTATCCATAGGAATTCAAAATCAAATATGTTTTCTTCAGCAGCTAAAACATCCATTCGAATATAACGTAATATTTTCTGGGTGTTACTACTAAATGCGTTCAATGCCAGAAGTGCACTCTGTGAATCACAATATAAGTCCACTGTTTTTGTCTTTTAAAAAATCAGTCGCAAGGTATATGCCTGCAAGTTCGGTTTGAGTTGTACTTGGCCAGGCATTAACGCGCTTCATTGTTGAATGTACGAGAGAAGATTGATCAAATATATTACATGCACATCCGGTATATCGTCCACCTTCTTCTACAGAGCCGTCGGTATAGCACTGATAAACATCGTTACCCATACTCTGAGTACTCTCAGTGATGCTGCACAGTGTTAACTGTTGTAATAATGTAGAGTGCTGTTATGATCTCAGCCTGCAGGAGAAACTACGCCAGTTCATAGTGATTGCATTGTAGTTGGTCGTGTGCCCAGCGACAGTAGCGATGTTTATTTATAGGTTAGACATGTTTTAATAAGGCAGAAAGCCTGAAATAGGAGAGTGAAGAGGGAGGAGAACGGAGCGACGTCCGTCCTCTCTGAGCGCTGGCGGACGACTGAGGGAGCCGGCTCCGGATGGAGGAAGACCCTCC